CTCTGTCACTCCCTAGGGTACGATTCCTCTGTCACTCCCTAAGGTACGATTTCTCTGTCACTCCCTAGGGTACGATTCCTCTGTCACTCCCTAGGGTACGCTTCCTCTGTCACTCCCTAGAGTATGATTCCTCTGTCACTCCCTAGGGTACGATTCCTCTGTCACTCCCTTAAGTACGATTTCTCTGTCACTCCCTAGTGTATGTTTCCTCTGTCACTCCCTAGGATATGATTTCTCTGTCACTCCCAAGGGTATGATTCCTCTGTCACTCCCTAGGGTATGATTCCTGTCACTCCCTAGGGTATGATTACTCTGTCACTCCCTAGGGATGACATGCGGAGGGAAACCATACGATGATGTCAGGGAAACAATAAATTATGACGTTTGAGTTGTGGATTTCTCTGTAACTCCCTGAATGTAGGGAAAGAGTATATGATACTCGTGTTAGCAACATGACCGGCATTGTCATTATGGAAACATCGATCTTTATCTACGAAGTTGTTGACATATATGAGTATAGATAAATACCTGACATGTACAAATCTCTTTAAGCAATGTATAGAGACATTACCACACCGGTGTATGTAGTAATATTCAGTTAATGACACAATAAAAGGATTCAGTTTAGAGGTCATTTTCCCCCCAAGAGCCCTGAACCAGTAAATTGAGGAAAAAAATATATTTACCTTATCAAATATATTATAGGCCTTGACCTCGTTTTTTTGTTGTCTTTTTTTTCCAGTATAATATATACGTAATAAACTGCATAGATTTTGAAGACATAATGGTATAACCGCCTCGTGTATTGTAGACAAAGTGAACCATGCACTAAAGCTTAAATATATACACACTTGCCCGTCAGTCACTATACATTTGTTGCCCTTGTTGTAGGAAAACAAGTTCCTTTGTTTACCCGAGGTCATGTTTCACGAGGGCGAGGTCCACTAATGACATGATTAATCGAAGGTAATTAATAATCGTGTGTTCCTTCCACAAGGTCAAAATCTTTTTACCGAAATACAACAATAGAACATTAGGTTGACGGGTTGACGGGCCATTGTTGTCGTCTGCTTCAGTCATGTACATCTTCTAGAGACGTTCCAAATAAGGGCAATATGACAAAGAAACTCGAGCGCGTGAGACCGACACGATATTGTGTTACCCCATCAAGTAATTAATATAATCCAATCAGACACATTATCATAGATGAACTATAATAACTTAATTTATTACCCTTTTAGAAGGGAAACATGATTCTTTGTTACCCGGAAATTAACTATGTTTTACGGGGGGCGAAGCTCCGTAACAATGATGTAAGTACAAGGCAAGACCTATTTTTCGCACATCATATATTACGAAGTTAGATCGAGTTTGCCGCTCATCATGTTACTCTAGATCTGTCAAGGTAAGTTCGTGTCTGGTTACATCATGCGACTCGGTTATTACGAATTTAGATCGAGTTTGTCGTTTATCTTGTTACTTCGTTATTACCAGGTAAAATCGAATCTGTCTAACTTCATGAAACTCTGTTCTTAAAGGTACAAGGTAAAATCGCGTCTTGTTACATCATGTAACTCCGTTATTACGAAGTTAGATCGAGTCTGTCTTACATTATGAAACTCTGTTATTAGGAGGTAAAATTGAAACTCTCCTACGTCATGTTAATCAGCTATTACGAGGTAAACTAGCTCTGTCCTATATCATACAACTCTGTTTATCACGAGGAAATCATGAAACTCTGTTACAAGGTACGATCATGTCTGTTTACAACATGTAACTCCGTTATAACGAGATAAAACGGAGTCTGTCCTTACTCCGTTACATGTAATGCGAGGTACATGTAGGACCTGTTAGACCTGTCGAGATCTCGGTATAATAATGATCCTCTAGATGAGATACGTCTGTAGTATCAGTATTATACCTTGGTTTGTTTCCTGGTCGCCCCGCACGTTACACATACATAACGATGTTGGCATGGCTGTAGATAATGCCTGAGATATGGCAATGCTCTGCCGGGCTCCGGCGGCTGTATAGTTCTCCCCTACCAAAACTTTGAATCCTTTCTTTATTCACAGTTTGGCGTGACTCACGTGCAAACGGTCGTTCGCTCACGTCAGTGAACTTCTGGAGTTCCATTCCAACCCTCCCGCGCCACATCATTGGAAGTATATATATCGGGACAGTCGTTTCCTTTACTAAGTTAGTGAAGTTTTTAGTTTTGTCTCTGATGTTATGAGCGGTATAGGACGTGGGAGAGCTAGTTAGTGCATTAAGGTATCCCCTGTCTGCGGATTAAGGAGAAACCAGGATAAAAGGTGAGTCTTTTAATCTTAAGTTGGTATCTCTGCTGTGTGCAATATTTGTGTTGAAACATGATTTGACACATTCTTTCAGGCTAACTGATAACAACACATTGTATGAGTGTGAACGTTAGTGCAAACGTGTTTTACATATTTTAAATTGTGATATTCACCAGTAAAAGTACTCAGTTCTCTGCTTTACTGACACAGGCTATTTTGCTAGTGTGTTTGTTTTAAACTCTTGATCTAAATAAATTTGGTTTGTTGCACGTCCTTTGTCGCCATTCCACTGTTTTAAAAAAGCGAACTTAGAGGTAGTGCCATAGCTAGCTAGTTATTGTTATTGTGACGTCATAATCGAACAAACGTAGTGTTATTTAATTGTGACGTCATACATCATTTCCAGTGGGTTTTTTTTGTAATTTTAACTTATCGTTTAGTTATCCGTTGTTTTTATTTACAGAATTAATTAACTGCCTCAGGTGGATACATAATTATAACTGTCTTATCTGTATACATTTAACTGCATTTATATAACCTGTCTAAGACGTTATATTACCTGTCTAGGATGTATATATTACCTGTCTAAGACGTTATATTACCTGTCTAGGATGTATATATTGCCTGTCTAAGATGTTATATTACCTGTCTAGGTTTAAATATTACCTGTTGAGATGTTTATTTTAACGGTATCGGATCTTTATACTACCCGTCTAGGATGTATATATTACCTATCTAGGAAGTTTATATATTACATGTCTATGATGTATATATTACCTGTCTGGGATGTTATATATTACCTGTCTAGGATGTGTATATTACCTGTCTAAGATGTTTTATTACCTGTCTGGGAAGTATGAATTACCTATCTAGGAAGTTTATATAACATATCTAGGATGTATATATTACCTGTCTAAGATGTTATATTACCTGTCTAGGAAGTATATATTACCTGTTTAAGATGTTATATTACTGGCTAGGATGTATATATTACCTTTCTAAGATATTATATTACCTGTCTAGGTTTAAATATTACCTGTTGAGATGTATATGTTACGTATCAGAAGTTTATATTACCTGTCTATGATGTTTATCTTACATGTCTAGAATGTTTATCTTACATGTCTAGAATGTTGATATTACCGGTCTAGGATGTTGATATTACCGGTCTATGATGTTTATATTACCTGTCTATGACGTTTATCTCACATGAAGTGTATATTACCTGTCTATGACGTGTATCTTACATGTCTAGAATGTTTATATTACCGGTCTAGGCTGCACTTATTTACTGTCTAGGACATATACATCATTAGCCGTCTATGACGTATATTGACTGTCTAGGTATATATTACCTGTGTAATATTTATATATTTACAGGCTAGGATGTTTGCGTTACGTGTAACTGTATCACATGAGTCTAGTGAGTCATAGCTAGCTTCATTTGTGCAATGATGCATAACAGTTACATTTCAAATAAAAGTCTTGAACGAGGTTTGCAGAAAAATGTGTATTTTGGTTTAAATTGTTCGACGAAGGTGGTAATTTTTAATAAACACTTACCTGATTGCTTTATACAAATGGCTGGGATCATATAAAGAAGATGGATAGGGTGTCCGTTGCTTTTAAATAGCGAGTGCTCGACGTGAAAACTGGTATAGAGATATCTCCGGTATCAGTCGCTCTGACAAATGCTTTGCTATATGTTTAACCACAGCTTAAGATATGTCTGTCTGCTCGGAACACTTCTTGATATTCAATGCAGTTAGATAATTGTTACGTTCTGTTTGACTCTGGGACAACGATTTAGTAAGACTCCGTAACAACACCGCGTTGTAAACAGACCCGCACGTTCTTCGCAGACGACACATTTCGGGAGAATTCTTCATTCCACTAAGTCTAAGTAAAAACCATGTTAACGCATCGATCGGCCGATCGGAACCCCGTCGGTACCGCCTTTATCCAGCATGACTGTAGCTTTGATAAATCATTTGTGGAAAGAAAACCGAACATTGCTGATCTTTTATTAGAAATGATAAAGATGAAATACACTAAATATAAAATATATATTAAAGTATTCTTAGTGGAAAAACAATTCATCGGGACTAGACCGTGGCCCGTATTCATGAAGCGGTACTCATGCTCAAGCGTGGATTTTGTGCTCCAGCCTAATTTCTTGTTCTGGTTATAACTCAAAAAATAAATCTTATTTTGTCAATGATTTGGAAACATATCGAAGAGATTTAAAGCCAAATACTGTTTTCGATGTTTACATTTGACTTTTTGATCGTTTGACATGATCTAAGCGAGTTACCAGAAATATGGTTTGAGCACAGATTCCATGCTTGAGCATGAGAACGGTTTCATGAATACAAGTCCGGGATTCGAACACTGCTGACTTAAGATTGTTATACTAACGTTCTAACCCATTTAGCTACTTGGTCAACGAAAGTGTACTGGCCCATCTGAACTACAGTTATTTCAAAACGGAAGACAAAGGGAGGTTACAGCATAAACGAACCACCACAAAGCGGTCGGACAGATGACTGTTTAACATCCGGAAGGCGTAGATTGTCATTCCAACTGTAATTGGTTGTTACCTTTTTTCTAGATATGTAAAAATGAAGGTATTTAAATGAGAACTGCCTCAACGAACACCTGTCTTTAACGACAGCCTCTCTACGGCGACCAACTGTCTATAAATAAATTCTGTCTTAAGAATACCCCATATTATAATGTTTTTGTATAATAATACCAAAGACAACCTGTCAGATAATAAACAGCCTTCCAGTGGTAGCATATATATATCGCATGCTTCTGTGGATGCTCAAAGAAAGCGTGTGTTCACTAGGGATCGGACCCGCGACCGCAGACTTTTTAGTCAGGCGTTCCACCTCTGAGATAAAGGAAAATTCTCTCTATCTGAAGCTAGTAGAACAACATGGACGCTGGCGCTTCATGTACATTACATGTACAACACACAGCCTTTATATATTAACCAGACAATAGACATGTATAACCTGGAAACCTCTATTAAACGGACATTCGCCTAACTCACTGCACAGGGACCAGATAATTTGATACACTAGCAATGCTTGGACCTAAACTGATATGTTCGAATCAAGACAGACGTCGAGGGGTAAACAAATTCGCAGGTCCCTATGTATAGGAAGTGTTAAAATATTACATGGGAAGAGCAGTGTGCTTGTCATCAGCCTGGGTAAAAGGGTCCCAGATTACCAAGCGTTCCCCCGGGGGTCAACTATCAGTGGCATTCGCACGTGTAAGCTCATCATAGCACCTATATCTTGGGATCAAACAGTCTAGACAAGTAGGCCGGGAAATCGAAAGCGGGGTACGTACAGTATACTCAGTAGCAGTAAACCATCCTGAGATAGGAGAGCGGTACCTCTTTGCTGTATATAGACTGCATGTAGCAGGGATATTTGGACTGCTTCCTGATGCCCAGAAAACTCCAATAGATCCATCACTAAATTAAAGCACCAACACAAACTTCAGTTCATGAACTGTGTTATACGTGACATACTTACATATACTGTGTAATGCGTGAAATACATGTATAAACTGTGTAATACATAAATCAAACTACGTAATACGCGACATAAACTGTGTAATACGTTTCACACACATACATACTGTGTAATACGTAACAAACATGTACATACATATGTATATTTATACTGTGTGATAGACGGTATGTCATGTACCCGTGACATACCGTCTATATATACTGTATAATGCGTTACAAACATGTACATGTATAAACTGTGATATACGTGACATAAACTGTGCAATACGTTACATATATGTTTATACTGTGTAATACGCGGCATAAACTGTGCAATACGTTACATAAACTGTGCAATACGTTACATACATGTATATACTGTGTAATACGTGACATACACTGTGTAATACGTTACAAAAATGTATCTACTGTGTAATACGCGGCATAAACTGTGTAATACGTGACATAAACTGTGCAATACGTTACATATATGTATATACTGTGTAATACGTGACATACACTGTGCAATACGTTACATACATGTATAAACTGTGTAATACGTGACATACACTGTGTAATAAGTTACATAAACTGTGCAATACGTTACATACATGTATATACTGTGTAATTCGTGACATAAAATATGCAATACGTTACATAAATGTATACACTTTGTAATACGTGACATTTACTGTGCAACACGTTACATATATGTATATACTGTGGAATACGCGACATACGCGTGTAAAACGTAACAAACATATGCATATGTATATACTGTGTGATACGTATATGCCATATATACACTTGATATACATAAACATAATGTGTAATGCGTTACATAAATGTATATACTGTGTAATACGTGATATAAACAGTGTAATACGTGACATAAACGGTGTAATACGTTACATACATGTATATACTGTGTAATACGTAACAAAACTGTGTACTACGTTTCATACATGTATATACTGTGTAATGCGTGACATACATACTTGACATACAAGCATACTGATACGATATGTAAGATATATATAATGATACGTCACATTCGTACAGAGTAATATATAACAGATATGATTATTTATATGTAAACTGTGTGACACGTACTATGTATGTGTGCTATGTTGTATATATGTACTTGTTAATTATTCATATAATGTAATTATACACATTTACATATGTATACTGTTTAGAAGGTAGAACACCCGTTCATTTTTAAGCTGTGCATTTGGTATCACATATAACCATGTGCTATGTATATGTACATTTTACATATATATATACAATGTAGGGCATATATACAATATAGTTCATTACGTAACACACGTGTGCAGTATACTGTAATAATGATAATGATATACAACATTTAACATAGCGCCATATCTAGCTAGAATAAGCCACTCTGAAGTGTTTTACAGTACATATATATACAAATTATACAATCAATACAGTTAGCATATACATTAATCAATATTGAGGA